GAGGCAGGGAGGCAGGGAGGCAGGGAGGCAAAAAATAAATAAGAAAGAAATCTTTTCAGGAATGTTGGTGCATGCTTGCAACTTCAACACTCAAGACACTAAGACAGGAAGAGAGGCAGCTGGGCTACGTAGTCCAAAGTTAGCCTGAAGTATAGAGTAAGATCCTGTCTCAAAAACAGAAAAAAAAGAAAGCAAAATCTACCCAGAGGTGGCAGAATACCTAGCATTTGAGAGGCTGAGTCAAAAAGATCATAAATTCAAGGACATCCTGGACTACATGGTAAGATCCAGTTTCAAAAAAAAAGAAAGTAAAATGTACTAATTTAAGATCAATTTCTATAAAAATCAATCTTGAAGAGTGCTGTATTTGCTAAACTAAAAATTCATTATCAAACTGCAAGTCTGAACAGGTTATATCTTCCAGAATATATGAAAGGGTAAATTTTATTTTATTTTGGATTTCTAGCACTTCAATTACAGGAATTATGTATAATATAAGTTATTTTTTGGAATCCAAGCAGGAAAGGTTTTCCATTTGAAAGGGTAATTCAACAAAGCCATTTCTAATATAACATGCAATTTCAGTATGAATTCTAAATTTTGAAATTGTTTAAAATCCAATTTGCTAACACCTAATATAAAGAGCAAGTAAGCTTCTGCGAGGAATTCAAAATCTGAAATTTACACATTTATACAATAATCACTTAAAAACAAATTTAAATAGAAGACATCTGAGGTTAAAAATTAAATTGATGTCTACAACCTAGTATCAAAACACTGCTCTTTATTTAAAAGTGGGAGGAGGTTTCTAACATAAGGATAGAAAAACCGAAACATATCTGCCTGCTTTAAAAATATCCATACTGGGCAAGGGAGATAGCTCAGTGGCACAGTGCCTGCCTGACAAGTGTAAAGTCCTGTGTTTTGATTCCCAGTACGCAAAAAAAAAAAGTCCATTCTTGGACTCTGAAATCTACTTTAACATGTGTCCCTTCATTTTCTACCATCTTCCATTCCATCAACCATCTCTCTGCATTCAGATTTCAATATCTAGCCAAAGGCAGAGATTGAGTTAAGTCTCCTGAAGATTGCAAAAAACTAAAACCAGCAGAAAAATAGAGGCAATACTTCTCATAAGAACTGCCAGAAGTCCTTTCAGAAAAACAAACTTCTTGCTTTAAAGATAATCACTTTTAAGAAAAAAAAGACAACAGTATATATGAATACACACCACGCTAATAAAAACACTAGAACAATGATAAAATCCTATAGATTATGCTAGTACTTTGGGAAGAAAAAGATTGTTTTTTCGAGAAAGAGAATAGCAGTAAAAGACTTCAATTAGCTAGAATTTCCCTTTCTCCCCTTTGGAGTGGATTCCTTACACTAACTGAAAGAATACTTTTCAGAATGAGTTTGTTGCTAGATGATGCTATTTACTCGTGAAGAAAACATTTTCATTAACCCCCACTTTAAAAATGAGTCAGTATAGTACCGCACCCATGTTTTCCTGGTGCTGGGGAATTAATCCAGGGTTTTGCATATGCTGAACACGTACTCTACTGCAGTTCTATCAAGGTGTATATATTCTGACTCAGAGCACCCTTCTCCCTAATGTTCAAATATTTCAAAACCTTAAGAACAGCGTTGGAAAAAGTCTTCAAAAAGAACGAAAAATTTAAAAAGAACAAAAAATACTAGTCTGACTCACAGCACCCTTCTCCCTAATGTTCAAATATTTCAAAACCTTAAGAACAGCGTTGGAAAAAGTCTTCAAAAAGAACGAAAAATTTAAAAAGAACAAAAAATACTAGTCACATTTTACATATTTGCATTATAAAGAAGAAAGCATTAATCACATTTTACATATTTTCATTACAAAGAAAACAAAAAACACTAGTCACATGTTATATATTTCCATCATTATAAATTGTAAGCCTATAATTTATTTTTAAACTTATTTAAATACATTTTGCTATTAAAGGAACTTTAATTCAATTCAAATATTCTCAATATACACAAAGCCACAGGCCAAAATACTGCAACGCAATGACTTTTTAAGCACATGAATCTTCAGAGCTCTGTGAAGCATGACACAAAAGGCAGCTCAGTTTTCTTAAACTATGTAAGTTGTCTGCATTTTTGCTTCATGGTTTATTGCAAAATTCTAAAAGTAATATTTAAGTGCTCGTACTATTCACTTTATTGAGAACTGTCTAAAAAATACTACACAAAACCTTAGCTATCTAAATTAGTACTGAAACTTGCAGTGTAGTTACATTCTGAGAAAGATAAAAATAAAAACCCTGTTAATTCACCAGTATATTTAATATTCTGTTAAAGATATCAATTGCACATGAAGTCCAAATAGTTGGAAAGACTCTAGAAAAGCAACAAGAAAATGACTTTTAAAAATGACGCTTTTCACACCCAGGTTCAGTCATGCCAGCTGGAGAGGTGTTAAATATGGCTTTATTCCTTTTAAATCTGAGAAGTGTAGTCATTTCCATGACATTTTAGAAATTGGAAATGAGCAATTTTTCTTCATGATCCTAATTCTTCTGATTCAAGTCACATTTAGAAAATCAAACTTAGAAGGCAGTTTGGATAGACCATTTGTTTGCTGCTGCTTACAGTCAAATTATTCTGTCCCAGATCGCCTAGCAAACTAGGAATACAAAGAGATAAAAAGGGAAAGAGAACAACCACCACCAAAAACTCCCCCCACACAGAATGATCAGGAATCTGAGCTGCTTCAGGCATGTCATCCGTTAAGGGGACCTTTGTTTCCAATTGTATAAGGGTCCTTGGCCGTAGTCTGACTCACACAAGACGTACACATGGCTCCTGAGAGGCCCTTTAGTCCCCTTTGGAAGACACTATTGGAGAGACTATAAATGACACAGTTGCAGAAACTGTTACTAATTGCAAGCCAGGTGGTTAAGAAGGACGCAAAGCGGTTGCTGTGGTCAGTGGAACTCTCCAACAAGAAGTAGATGATATATGGCAACCAGAGGATATAGAACACACTAGTGATACGAAACAGGACCATGGCATAACGTTTATCGGGACACGCCTGTGCTTCCCCAGTCTCCCCACTCTGGCAGCTGAAGCGGGCTTGCCTTTCGCTGATCTCCTTTGTGTGCTGTTGGCAGATGCGGAAGATGTTGAAATATGTGAAGCAGACAATGAAGGCTGCTGGGGCATACAACATCATCACGATGAACAAGGTGAAGTAGGGGTCGGTATGCCAGGACTCTGCACACCACTGAAACACATCTCCATGATATCCAGGTTTGCCCCAGTGGAAAAAGGAAGGCAGGAAGACCAGGGTAGAGTATAGCCAAATCAGGAAAATGCACAGGCGAAGTCTCCAGGGTGTAACCAGGCTATTGTAAGTTAAAGGCTTAGTGATGGCAATGTATCTATCAATGCTGATACAGGCCAGAGAGGCCATGGAGACACTCTTCAGAACTGATACTACAAAACCAAATATCTGGCAAGTCAAGGATTCCTCTATTGGAAGAGGGTAGTGGAGGAGTGATAAAGAAGGAACCAGGCAGCTTACTCCAACTAAGAGGTCTGCATATGCCATTGTCTGGATAAAATAACTTGTGGTGTGATGGTTCAACAAAGGTGCACAGTGAAATACAAAAATCACCACGATGTTGCCAATAATAATTAATACAGTTAGAAAGACAATAATCAGGACTTCCAAAAGGCAAAAACTGACAGTTTCCAGGTAGCCAAATGCCAAGAGACAAAAAGGGTGGCTGCTCTGATTACCATCCAAGGTGGAGTTCATCTTGAGCTCAGGAGTGATCTCTCACTTCATGCTGCCGCTTGGCTGCTGCTAATGTTCAAAGGAGCAGCTGCTGTCAATGCGGTCAGCTTTTAAGTGTAATAATGTCAAAGGAGCCTTAGTCCCCAAGCTCCCGATGCTGCTGCTCTTGTGCATTGCCTGCAGTGCAATTCCCCTTTAAATCCTTCTTGGAATAGGGAGAACCAACAGCAGAGGTCTGGGCAGTCCCAGACGCAGCCATAGTGCCAGCCAGGTTCACCATACACATAGCACTGGGGGGGGAGTAAGGCAAACTCTGGGAACAATGTCTTCAGGCCAAGTGAGATGAGAGTAGGGGAAGGGGCAGAAGAAGGGAGGAAGATTAGAACTTCAGCAGGAGTTGTAATGACTCTCCTCTGAACAGCTGATAGAAGAAAAGGAGAAAGCATTTTACATTTTGCATTCAATGTCCTAATCAAAGAACCTAGCTACCTCCGGCTGGTATCACCCCTCCCACTCCTCCCCTTCTGGTAACACAATTTACAGCTAATGTCAGTAATACCCCACATAACTAGGCCTTTATTGAGAAGAAGCAAAACCAAGCTTTCAAAAACAACACAAAACAAAAGCAATCACAGTCAGATCTACCTATGCCTATTTTCCTTCCTTTGAGCTTTTTGGGGGAGAAAATCAATCTTACAGCAATTCTGAAAACGCTTTACTACATTATCACTAATAAAATAACCCAAGATAATTTATGTTCTACATTAAATCTGATGTATTTTACCTCTGAAAACATTTTAATAGAATTTATCTGTTTAGCTCAATTTCAGTGTTACCTGTAATTCTGCATGCTGCAATCCAAACAAAAGCCACAATGCACCCTTAACAGAAAGCCTTGCAATGCAGGAATGTGTTCAGCCCCGTGTACTGCAGAGCTGAGACACAGAGGGAGGGGATAAATGAGTAGGAGGGGAAACAGGCAGAAGAGGGGCCTTGGGAAAAGGAAGAAAAGGGGAGGAGAAAGAAAAGGCATGTGTGCACACATTCTGGCATCTTCAGCGACTCATTAGAATTCATCACCCAAGAGGTGCTCCCCAATTATGATTATCACTTGCTAAATGGAGAGATAACATGCCTGAAGTGAAGCATTTGAAAGCTGTTTCCATGTCTGTCTGGAATCTCCCTCTTAAACGATAAGAGAATTTAGACTTCTAGGCAAGGAAAATGAGTAGTAACTAGGCAGTCAGGAATTATGCGGAAACAAGCTGCCAGAGGGCCAAAGGGTGAGGGGAAATTTTTATTTTCTTGTCGTGATTTCCCAAAGAACAATATTAAAGAAAGGAAGTGTGTTAATAGTACATGGCAACTGAGAAATCATAGCTCAGTTGCAAAAGAAGTTCAAGCTGTAAGGCTAACTATTCAACATTAATCTTTTCTCTGATAACTCACTAGATATTGGCTAATGTTAAGAAATTTTAGAATCAGTTTTTTCAAGAGAAGAATAGACACTGCCCCGTCTGATTTTGGGAAAACAGGGCACAAAGAGAAATTAGTACTTCTGTGTCTGATATTATCCTAAAATTTTGAGATACCATTTCTTGCTTTTACTGTGCTAAGAAGCACTGCACAAATTACACAAACTAAAAGATTGAAAAGTATACTCATTTCTATCCAGACTTGAAAACTACAGGAAGCTTCATGGTATGAATACATCTTTGTATCTGAGGATACAAAATTTTATCTGTCTACTTAAAATAAAATGGAATTATGGCTTTTCTGTTGATGTAACAAATGATGATTTTCAGGTAATGTGGGGTAAAATCATGCGGGAATGGTGTTATTTTAGTATCTTTTCTTTCAGGTATTTATGAATTTCAATTCATCTTTCTAAATAAAGTTCCACATAGCCAGCAGAGTAAAAGAAAATAAACACTGGCATTTGTAAGCATTCCAGGTCTGCACACTTAACTGATGACATATATTATGTGACACAACTTTTCCTTTTACTCATTTTATACGTTTTCTTATTGCATACAAAATTCTACCCATTATCAAAATTCAGTGAATTGCATTTTAAATCAGAAATACTGCGCTAATTACATGAAACAACACACTTAAAAGCTTATTCGAGCCTAAGCCTGATGGAATAGTTGACTGTTCTTACTGGAAAGCGTGGCAAAATGTAGCATAGTAAAAACACCAACAGCATCAAAGGAACAGCCAGGTGATTCAAATCCTTGCTTTACTATTAGCCTCTCTTAGCCTCAGTTTCTTCACATGCAAAAGGAGGATAATACTCCCTATTACACTCTCTCCCTTCTCTGGGACAGAAATAAAGACTGTGCACAAAAGGCTAATACCTAGCACATGGGGAGTATACAACTTTATTTTCCACTCATACAACTTAAATAGTTTTCCTAGATAGCCACCAATCGTGTGGCACTGCTTGAGGCTGGGCTTCTCTGCATCCTGAAGAACCTTCTATTGTGACTGCACAGACCTGGGACACACAATAGCTCTAAGGATTCAGTGTCTTAAGCTTTAAATACCTTGAGATAAACACATGCAAGGTAGTGAAGGTTGCAAGACAAAGAATGATGATATGGCACCAATTATTGCCTCTTCATAAATAACTGCTTTGTCTACGTCTCTAGCTGATTTCACTCCTGAGCTCTTTCTTCTATTTATAATTTGCCAGTTAGTCTCCTGTCTTTCACCTGAATGTCCTTGTAGATTTTTACCTGGAATATGTTCAAATGAAAATAACATTTTTTAATACCAAATAAGGGGCTGGAGAGATGGCTCAGTGGTCTAAAGCACCTACTTAGAACAAGCTTAGCAAAGCACAGGGACCGCGGTTCATATCCCCCAGCAGCACATGCCAGCCAGCCCCACCCCCTGGTGGGCTGAGCTGGCCACACACACACACAATAAATAAATGTAATAAATAAAAATAAAAAATAAATAATTAAAAAAAAAATACCAAATAAGCCTCTCATTCATTCTTAACACTTTTTCTAGACACTACTAAGAAACTGTCTTAACCACTTTTCTCCTTTAACGCAATTTTTTTGTTTACCAAGTCCTCTAAATCTATTTCTATACCACTTTTAAAAATTCATTCTCTCCTCCTTCAAGTTTTAGTTTAGGCCTCATTAATTACCACATGAGCTCATAGTTTTGTTCATTTTCATACTTACTCTATTCATTTCTGCTTGATAAAATATCTAAAAGCACATATTTCATTATGCAACTCCATTGTTCCAATCTGATCATACTACTCTTTTTCCCTGAATCACTTTGCCCTCCAGGAGAACCAGGTTACTCACTATTCTACATACCTCCCATAAATTTCATTTCTTTCTTCATTGTTGTTTTTTTTTTTTTTTTTTACTGGGGATTGAACTCAGGCCCTTGTGCTTGCCAGGCAAGCACTTATTCTACTGAGCTATCTCCCCGGCCCTAGGAAAGGTTTATGTAGATCATAGTTTATAGAGGTTTCAGTTCATAATCAGCTGGCTCAAAGGCC